TTTTTTTCCTCCCAATCTCCCAAATCGTTTTATTATTATTTTTTAAGTGATCGCTCCTTTTGCGCGCTGCTCCTGCTGCTGCCGAAATCCCCATCTTCCCAGGGTGCATGCTTTTGGCAAGATTGTGCAGTGTTCTCAGTCCATTTTCAGTGTGTCTTATCTTAATTTGTCCTGATCCGATCTAAGCGCGATAGCCACCACTTGCTTTCAATTTGTAGGATTTTTTTTCCCCTTCTTGGTTTGCTCCCGACTACTCTCGGAGTATTTCTTACTCTCCTTGCATTTCCAGGATTACAATTTACTCTGCCTTTTTTTTTTTTTTTTTTTTTACCTCCCCTCTTTTGAATTGCTTCATGTTACTAATCATTCCTAAATTGTAAGACAGATTAATTCCCCCTCCTCTTCCACCACTACCAGCACCACTACCACCATCACCTCCTCCTCCTCCTCCTTCTCCCCTTCTCTTCTCCTTTTTGGCAGCACCAGGACGTCCGGTGTGGTGGTGGCAGCGAGCAGCAAAAGCAGCAAGAGCTCGTTTTGATTCCTCCCCTTCCAAGGTGCTTTGGAGAGACTGGTTTCAGGCTGAGCAGCAGAAGTCACGATGAGTGCACAAGGTGAGGGACCCGGTCAGCCTTCCACTGCTGCCCAGGAGCAACCTGCAACCGCAGAGCTTCAGAAGAGAGGACGAGGCAGACCCAGGAAACAAACAGAAGTCAGTATCGTATAAATACGTAGAGACGTAGATCTGTAGTGTTGTAGGCATTTACATGTACGTATTGTGCTGCAAATGAAGGAGTCCTGGCGACGGGGCGGGGGGCTTTGTTGTGTGCTGCTTCTCGGCGAGGTGGTGCAGAGGCGTAGCGAGGGGCTCCGCCGGGCGCCCCGGCGGGGAGACTCCGGGGCCCGAAGCGGCGAGGCACTGCCTGCTCGTGGCTGAGCCGCGGAGCCTCCTCGGGGCTTTCACTATTGTGCAGGGAGCGAGCAGGGGCTTTTCAATGTAAATGGGGAACATGGAGCAGCGTGGCTCCGACCAACCAGCGCTCGCTGGGTCATTTCGAGCTGATTTTGAAATTGCGAAAGCGAGGAGCAAGGAACGGGGCTCTCCTGTCCCTTCTCTCTCAGTCCTCGCAATAGCTCAGTCTGTGTGTGTGTGCGTGTGCGTGCATGTGCGTGTATCGGGTCCCACCGGGCGCTGCTGCCGCCTCCGATCTTGACCAGCCCAGCCCCTGACTGCCCCTAGATCCTGGGGCTGGGGGGAGAGGAGGGTGTCTAGAAAGTCGCATAGTTTTTTTTCACTCTCCCCCCCCCCCCCCCCCCCCCCCCCCCCCCCCCGCCCCCCGGCTTTCCCCCCTTCCTCACCTCCCTCCCTCGCCCCCGTCATCGTATGCAGAGAGGTGCCCCCGTTGCCGATGGAGGTGGGGGAGGTAGCCGGAGGGGGCTTGTCCTGTATTTGCAACACCTTTTGCCTTTGCTTCGGCGCTTTTGCAGGCAGGTCGAGGCGACGGGAATGCTGTCGGGTGTCTGGGTGCGGGGAGCTCCTTCCCATCCGCACCCATAGCCTCCTCCCGGGTCCCGAAAGGTCCCGCTGGGCTCCTCTTTTTGACTTGCAAGACCTGAATCCACGCTAAGGTTGCTAGATCCATTCATTATTCCCACATCCCTCTCCCTACCACCACCTTCCCTTCCTTTCCCGACGTGCCATTGTCGCATTGCTTGGAGCTGCCGGGCCGCGCTCAGCCCCCGCCGCCGGGTGAGGGGCCCGTCAGGAGCCCCCGCGCTCTGCAGCCCCTCCGGCGGCGCCGCCGAAGGGGGATTTTGCCTGCGGATGCAACCAATTAATTCCCGCAGCTCGGCGGGAGTATCGCGAAGCCGCCCGCAGGCTTTTCCATGCCTCTCTTGGAAGTCACGATTGAGGAGTAGGGCTGCCCATGGAGCTCATTTTAAAGCGAGCTTCCGCGGGCTTTAAACATGTTTACTCCCATTCATTTGGCATCAGCCCCACTGCCACGAGAACCTTCAAGGAGCTCGAAGCGCGGAGGAGCTGAGCAGCAGAGCCCGTAGCCGTCTGCTTTACTTCCCCCTTCCTCCCCCATCCCCCGCTCCGATATGGTCCTGTAAATTGCACAGAAAATACTATTTGGAAAGCCATAAAAGCGGAGACCCCAGTGTTCTTGCTCTGCCCTCGGTGATACTCCACTGGACCAGCTGTGGGCTCTGACCCCCTTCCCGCTTCACCCTCTGGCTGCCCTCGCTCAGCCCCGGCAGCCGGCACCTCCGGCCCTGCGGACTTGCGCCAGGACTCCCCTTTTTTTTTTTTTTTTTTTTTTTTTTTTTTTTTTTTTTTTTTTTTTT